AGAAACACTACCAGATACAGTAAAACATCTTTAACATAATACCATAATAATAATGTTTGAATGTACCACAAAATATCATCCATTTGTTCTTAGAAACTATTGTATGTACCTGGAATTTTTAATAATAGGCTTTATGGGGATTGGTTTGTATGTTAAGTCAAGTCAAACATTCATAACCCAGGGACTGCCTGTAACTCAGTTTGGGCACAGGGTTCAGGTAAATACTGATGGCTATGCAAATTGTGCAAACCAGTCAAGGACGGTTAAGATCACCTGCTTCTGATGCCAAATTTTGTGGTGGGTAACAAATCCCATTCCACATACCATCCGCATCCTGTAGAAATCTTAGCTTCTATTCCTTGTTCAGTTTAGACAACAGCTGTGCATGCTCTTTCTCATCCCTGGGCACTTGGGGCTAGTTCTGAAGATTATCAGTCACAAACTCAAGAGTCCATATCACTCCCTCCATTTCAGACCAGCCAGCTCCAAATCTGGGGTTTCCTCAATCCCTCAGAGTACTAGCCACAAATTCAGAAGTCCACATGACTCCCTACATTTCACACTACTCAGCTCCCACTACTCTTTTGGGTCCTATAATTTGTTGGAACAACTCACAGAGCTCATGAGAAATAAGATAGCTATGATAATAGTTTTAATATAACAAAAAAAGATACAAATAAAAAGCTGTATAGAGCAAGGTCTGGGAGGAATCATAGTGCTGAGCTTCCATGTCCCAAGAGAATGAGCTACCCTCTCAGGAGCAGATGCTTACTCTTACCAACCAGGAAGCTTCCTCTGAGCCTCAGGGCTCAGGATTTTTACTGGCCTCACCATGTAGCCAGGATAAATTATAACATGCCTCAGGAGGTTTAGTTAGCACTAGGCGCCCAGGTGTAGCCCAGCTCTCAGAAACCACAAACAAAAGGCAAAACTGCTTCCTACTCCTCATATTCAATACATATAAAATTTTACAAAATATAAAAAAAAAAAAAAATCAAGATTTCTGTGAAAACAAATACAATTTTATAGATGAAATCCTAGTTGAGCTGAACACGAAATTCGCAATTTATATTAATGAACTTACCTTTTAAAAACTAATACCAGATTTTCATACTAAGAAAATTCTGTAAACTTTTAAACTTAAATTCTCCTACATTTTACTGATTTTCATCATTTCTTAATACCATCTTAAAACATCTTTAAAACAAAGTAAAAGTATCAAATGGTTTTTTTTACTGTAATATACCTACATTTTACAGTTTAGAATTAAAGAAAGGATAAACTCCAGACCCTGGAGAAGGCTATTATGCTTGGTAAAGTCAATGAAAAGGGGGAAGACCCTCAACAAAATGGATTGACAATGGCTGTGATGATGAACTCAAGCATGGCAACAACTGTGAAGATGGCGCAGGACTGGGCAGCATTTCATTCTGTTGTACACAGGGTTGCTATGAGTTAAAACCAATTCAATGGCACCTAACAACAACATGCACATTTATAGAACATTATGCTGAGTGAAATTAGTCAATCACAAAAGGACAAATATTGTATGAGATAACTATTATAAAACATCAAAAAAAGGTTCTCATACACCAGGTTTGCTGGTCTGACAGTGCCTGGTAAGACCCCTGAGACTATGACCCTAGTCACCCTTCAGGTCTGGAACTGAACTCATTCCTGTGGCTTCCAGACAAACAATAAACATGTATATGGGGTAAACATTTACATCAGGTAGATATAGTCCTTGAAGCCATCAGTAAATCATGGAAGTACGGAAGAGCAGTGTTTGCACAAGGAGATAGTTTGGGGAGGGATGAAGTGCATGGGAGGGAATGGACACAGTAAAGATGTAATTATGGGCAGAGAAGTGGGAAGAGAGCTGTTACATTCTGGGGAATTACAGTTGATGTCATGAAACAAAATATGTATGAAATGCTGTATGGAAAATTAATTTTCTCTGTAAACTTTCACCCAAATGACAATTAAAAAAGAAAAAAAAGGTTTTCATACAAAAACAAACATACTCTGATGATTACTAGGGATGGGAGGGAAAAGGAGGGTAAACCACTAATTAGAGGGTTATGGGTAAACATATATTCACTTGGATGAAAGAGAAGGCAATAAAGGGAGAGGTCAGCAAAAAATGTTCAAGGCAAAGGAAGATGCTGGGAGAAGCACAAAGAGTAAAAGGTAGCAGTGGTAAATACTATTACATATACAATCCTGAACAACAGTAATCACAATAATCTACAAGTGGATACATAGATAGATTCATAAACTGAACAGCAGTAGGAACGAGAATGGGACTATACCCACAAATATATACAAATTTGACTGAGGCTATCTCTACACATGTATTTACATATGCTATAAATATATTCATGAATGTAATAGAGCATAAAGGGAGCAATAACCAAAAATGCTGAGGAAATTAGTAGCTGAGTTTAGGGGCTCAGGACCATACTCTCAGGGGACATCAGGGTCAACTGGCACAATACAGTCCATAAAGAAAACGTTCTACATCCTACTTTAGCAAGCAGAGAATGGGCAAGGAAACTAAAGTACTAGAAATGAAGCAAGTAGAACACAAAGACAATGTTGACATATTCTAATAAATAGACCCCTCCTTGGGTTTCTGAGGCAGTATCACTACAGAAGTAGATTGCCCCATCTTCCTTCTGAGGAGTGGCTGGTGGGTTTGAACCACCAGCCTTCTGGTTAGCAATCAAGTGCCTTAGGCACTACACTACCAGAGCTTCCATAGAGGCTGGCAAGTCCCAAGTTTGTGGGTCAAACAACAAGCTGAAGGCTTTCCCTGACTCACACAGCTGTAGGAGCTGACAAACCCAAGATTGGTAGGCAGTATAGCACAACATAGCAGGCTGCTGACTTCAGTAGATAAGGAATCCAAAATTGGCAGGTAAAATGGCAGATTGATGGCTTACAGGCTGCAAAGGCAACAAATCTGAGATCAGCAGGCAATACAACAAGCCATTGGTTCACCTTTAAAAACTGGATGATAAGCTAGATGCAGGATCCATTTCCAACAGAAAGTCTGAGCATTCTCCTAGAATGTCCTATACATATATATATGTATGTATGTATGGTATGTATGTGTGTGTGTGTGTGTGTGTGTGTATATATGAAGCAGGTCACATCCCTAAAGAAACTCCCTTTTAACTGTCTGCTCACAGTATATCCCACTATGGAAGTAACTACCTCATATCAGATCTCATCATGGAAACAATCACACTATAGCTGCTTAAACATTCAGAATCATGGTGTAGCCAAGTTGACACACAACCTAAACTATCACAGTGGCCTTGGGGGTCACTTGAATCTCTAATCTTTCATTTTATCTCATTTGGTTGTCGTCTTATTTTGTTTTTGAATATTCATTATTTTAAGATCTTTTGTAATGTACAGCTCTCCTAGGGCATGTTCTTAAGTTTATGTTTCTTTACACAGAGGTCTTTATTGTAGGCATACTATGTTCCTTTCTTTAACATTCCTTTCCAGGAAAATATATGTGCCTCTTTCACGTCATTCCATACCCTCTTGCTCAGGTACATTGTCTAAAACTTCTCTTTAGTGTAGAACCATGTGAGCAGGTAGTCCTTGATCCTTTCTACTTTGCCAGGTATATGTCTGTCTTCTCCTTTGAACTATAAATGGAGGACTGGGTAAGGTTTTCTATATACATTTCGATGACATGGGGGAGCAGAGTAGTTTGGCAAGAGAGGGGAAAACTTGGTTGGGGTGGCAACAGCCTTTGTTAAGAATATTGGCCCATTCTACCAGCCAGACTGATAATTATACTCCTGAGGACTCTGGCTCACCACCTTGGAAAATGGCACACCATGACTGCCCTTCCTGCAGCCACTGAAAACCCAAGATGGCAGAATGGGGATTCCCAAATAAACCATTTACCACCCTCCCCATCCATTTTTTCCTCAAATATGGAGTATACAGGAGGAATCTTAGCTTGAAGAGTTTAAAATCAGTTAAATGAGAATCACTTGGGAAAGTCTGGCCATACACTAACAATAGGCCTCAACCTCAGAGACTGATTAAATTGCCTGAGAGGGGATGTGGGCATCAACTTTTAAAAGCTCCCCAAGTCATTCTATTATACAGCCCAAGTTGAAAGCAATGGTTTGTATGATATGATTGTGGTAGTTAATGTTATGTGTAAACTTGGCTGGATGTGACTATAAGTAGCTGGGCAGATGAATATATCTATTCCTTACAATGAAACTGTAATCACCTCCATGGTGGACTCTGCTGTGAGCAGACCAGTAGTTGCCTTCAGGGTATGGCCTGCTTCCAGTATATGAGAAGAAGCTTTGAGAGAGGTTTCTAGCTTTTGGTACATCTGAATTCTGCCTTTGACCGAGGCTTCAGCTCCAGTTCCAGGACTTGAACCAGTGGTCTGCCATGTTGCCTGCTGATCTTGGGATTTCTGCCATTTTACCTGTTAATCTTGAGTTTGTCAGCCTCGGTAGCCTACAGCTGCCTAAATTAGATATGCCTCCAGCTTCAGTGGGCCTGGAATAAGAGGAAGAGCTGAAGCCCAAAGGGGCCTTCTCCCAGCCTCTAGAGCCAGCACTCTGAATTTGGACTTGTAGCATCCTGAACTGCAAGAGAATAAATTCCTGTTTATGAAAGCCATCCACTTGTGGTATTTCTGTTATAGTAGCACTAAAGAATCAAGTCAAGGATCAAGGCCATCCAGCTGACCAGGCTTTAAACCGAGGTCTATCTAACTTTCCACAATGTAAATTAACTCTGAACTTAGAGAAGAAGTTTTAAAAGTTTTAACTACTGTAATAACTATTCCAAAACATCAATATAAAAGAGTTCAAATATATACTATCAACACCACTAACAGCTTGGTTAATAAAACAATTTATAAATTGTATTTGCACATGCACACATACCTGTATACACATACTTTATCAGTATACTCCTAGATGGAAATATAGAAGAAATTCAATTACCTGTCAGAACCTGGGTGAAATTCTGAAAGCAAGGAAGGTCGTCTACGAAGCTGTTGTTGTTGCTGTTGCTGCTGCAAGAGCTGTGACGCTTGACTAACTTCAAGATGAGAAGAACGATAATCAGGGACTGCAAATTCCTAGTATGAAAATGATTATAATTATTAACCAAATAGTGAACAGCTGCATGAAATCAAATCAAGCATAAATGCATAAAGGTAGTTATGGGCCACAAGATATAAAAAGAAAAGTTAATGATGATTTCAGTCCTTCATAAACTAATTCTTACCCATACAAGCCTAAAGTAATCAACATCCTTCTATTAGTCAAAAGAATTCAAAAGGAAACTCAAGTTCAACCTGTATTTGCTTTATTCCTCTAATAACATATTACAACAATTTCCAATCTACATTATTCTCACATAAGTAAAATTTCAAACTCATGTGCTTAATATTAAATCCTAAAAAGCATTCCAATCTTAAGTTCAAAATAGGAGAGGTGGAAGGGGTCAGAGAAATTTAACTAAACCCATCATTATTTATAAATGAAGAAACTGAAGTCCAAAGAATCAACCTACTGTACTGCTAGTTTTTCCCTCTTACTAGATGAGTTTTTTTATGTTTGTTTTTCTGCTTCTCTTTTGATTTGTTTTTGCATGAAGTTCTTTTCAAAACAAATCAATTATCCTATCTCAATCACAGCAGACAGTTTAACAAAGAATTACCAAATGACCTAGCAATTCCACTACTAGGTATAAATACAAGAGAAGAGAAAACATGCTCATACAAAAACCTGAACAAGAATGCACATAGCAGTATTCATAATAACCAAATGGTGAAAATAACCCAAATGTCCATCAACCGATGAATGGTTATGTAAAACGCAGTATAGTCATACAATGAATATCGTTGTTGAGAGCTCATTTCTTGATTCCAACTCACAGTGAGCCCATGTGAAAGAGTAGAATATAGGATTTTCCGAGCTGTTCCCTTTATGAAAACAGACTGCTAGGTCTTTCTCTTGTTGAGTCGCTGGGCGGGTTCAAACTACAAACTTTTCAGTTAGCAGTTGAGCAATTAACTCCTGTATCACCAAAGCTCTTTAATGAAATTTTATCCAGTCATAAAAAGGAATGAAGACCTGATGCATGCTATTTGGATGAGCCTATGAAATTTACTCTAAGTGAAAGAAGCCAGAAATGAAAGGGTACACGCTTTATGATTCCATTTATATGAAATGTCCAAATAAGAAAAATCCATGGAACAGAAAGTAAATTAGTGGTCTACAGGGGACTGGGGTGAGGGGAACTAACTACTAGAAGGTACAGGATTTCTTTTTGGGGTTAGAGAAATGTTCTAGAATTAGAAAATGGTGATAGTTGTACAACATGATAAATATACTAAAAGCCACTGGAGCATACTTTAAAATGGTGAACTTCACGTTATATGAATTCTATCTCAATAAAAGCTGCTTTTTAAAAAAATTATGAACTATCATTAACACATGAATGAATAAACAAAATGTGGTAAATACATACAATGGAATACTACTCAGCCAGAAGAAGAAATAAGTCTTGATACATGTTACAGTATGGATGGAGCTTTAAGACATTATGCTGAACAAAATAAGCCAATCCCAAAGGACAAATGCTGTATGACCTCATTTATATAAAAAGGCAAGAAAAGGCAAATATATAGAAACCAAAGTTTATTAGTGGTTACCAAGGGAAGGGGGAGGGGTGGAAAATGGTGATGGAAAATCGTATTGATTAAGGGTAGGCTTGCAATGCCAATTATTGTAACTGCTATCAATAGGTTGTATACCTGTAAAAAGTTGAACTGACAAAAGTTGTGTAATAGATTTATTTATAACAACAAAGTAACTGCTGAGGCGGCTTATATACAACCAAATACCTCATGGGATTTTTTCCCTTGGAGACTTAGTGTCATGGTTACATAGGACATCCCAGTTAACTGGCCTAATAATGTGGTCAGTGCTTCTGTTTACCTCCTACTTTATAATGTAGTGAGTACCTGGGTCTTAAAAGTTTGGAGTGGCCATCCAAGGCACAACTGGTCCCTATTCACCTAAAACAACAGAGGAAGGACAATCAGGAATAGGAGGAGGATATGATTATGTGGGGCTAATTGCTTCCATGAACAACTGCCTCCTTTGCCATGAGACCAGAGGAAACAGATGTTGCCCAGCTAACATTGCTGAACATTTTGATCAAAGATTCCATAGAAGAATCCTGATCAAAAGGGAGAAAATGTACAACAGAACTTCAAATTCACATGAACTTTCTGGAGCCACTGGAGCTAGATGAACCACCACCCAATTATCATCCTCACATCACCTTTAAACCTTAAACTAAAAATATCCCTGACTGTAAAACCAAGCAATAGTTAACTAGTAAAAAAAAAAAAAAGTCTGCCTCGAGCATTATGCTCTTTTAAGAACAATCTATATGGGATCAAACTGACAACAGCAACATGAAAAATTAGATAGGAATCATAGGAGCAACTGAGTTTACATTAACAAAGGGAAGAACAATTCAGAAAAAGAAGACTGAGAATGGCTGCACAACTCAAAGAACGTAATCAACGTCACTAAATTTCACGTGTAGAAAAGGTTAAACTGGTGTATGTTTTGCTGTTTATTTACAAGGAAAAAAAATACTAGTTTAAAAAAGGAAAGAGTCATATACTGATAAATTGAATTGTCTGGCTAGAACATATGGTAGAATAGGTCCAGAGCCCTTCTCTATAAGCAATACAAATTCCTCTCTATAATTCAGAGAGTTTAAGGAGAAGTCTCAGATATAAAATTAAAAGCATAACTAAGCAAAACAAAACATTTAAGACAAAACTTTTTTTTAAGAAAAGCCAAAATTCTTCAAAAAATAAAGAATTTACACCCTAAATAAATAAAAATGAAAGAGTAATTAAAATTAAGGGGGAAAAAAGTGTAAGTATTAATAATATTGTGGTGAAATGAGTTTTTTATGTAGTCTTTTCCCTTGACGCTGTGGGAAAAGGAAAAAGAAAAAAAAGAGACAGCTTTGGAAATTTTTCCCCTAAACCCTGAGGAGTTGTTACAGTTGCCCTAGATGTTTGGATAAGTTTGTTACGTTTTTTGCCCAGGCAAGAAGCCACCCCTTGCCAGCAGAAAATGTCAGTTATTATGCAAACAGATAAAGCCTTTTGCAGTCCAGCAAGGGGATTGGTCAGTTATAATGCAAATAATGGCTTAAAAATCTACACAATAGAACTGTGCAAAATGCTCACATAAGCAGTCAATTCCACAGATGGTTAGAGGCAAGGAGAAAAGACAAACAGAGAGAGACAGATAACACCTGAACTGAGCACCTTCCAGTAGGTTTGCCAGGGGAACAAAATGTGTTGTAATATGGGTAATGGACTGTACTACTGAAGAGCAGAAGCAAGATATAGAAAAAGGAAACTACATGACCAAAAGCATGGGCAAAAGTGGTGCATGCAAGACAAAAGGAGATGTGCCCAGAGGAGGCCTGTACTGAGGGGGCTTGCTGAGCTGACAGTGGGCATACACTGCAAACAAAGAGCTGCCCTGCAGTAAAGAAGGGAGGGATAATCTATTCACCTTGGCAGAGCCTTCTAGATCTTGCCTGTGTTCTTCCTGACACTGATCCTGAGTTGTAGCCTGTTATTTCCAAGTTAATCTTGATCCCTTATTATAGCTTGTTACTTCGCTAACAAACCATGTAACTGTAAACACAGTTCATGAGATCTGTGAGACAATGCAGCAAATTACTGAAATCAGCAGAGAGAGAGGAAGAAAGGTGAGGGAAAGGAGAATGGTCAATGTCAGAGATAAAAGAGTGATACTGCAGCTTGGAGAAGCTAGAAATCTGGAATATGTTTAACCTCCACTTCACAGAAAACAGCTTTGTACTGATTCTTCTTAATGAAATAAGACATGTGAATATCCTCCAAAAGACTCAAATAGAGAGAAAAAAATTAAAATTTTAATCACTGAAATTAAACAATAGTAGAATAGACACATTTGAAGCATAAATGAAATCTAAGAAAAAATTGACACATTCTCAGAACACTGTAAAACAGAGAGATATAAAGCCTACAGAAGAAAAGTTAAAAACAGAGCTAGAATAAAAAGTTCCAATGTCCAAGAGCCAAAGGTAAGATGCTATATTCTAAGAAATAATAGTACAGCATATCTCAGAAGCGAGGAAAGACAGAGTCCTAGAGGCGGGGCAAGATGGCGGACTAGGCAGAAGGATTGCACAGACCCTCTTCAACAAAGAAAAGGGAAACCAATTAACACAGACACAGAAGATAATCTTG